GAGAAAGAAGAAGAAATAAAAGAAAGACAAAGAAAACAGGTAAAGGATATATAAACTGAATGAACATGCTTCTTAAAGAGTGGAAAGATGATACCTTCTGGAAAAACCTGCCTTCGTGTTTAATGGGACAGTTTCTAGTCCCATCTGCTTTCATCTCAGACAATACTACAGCTCCCTTATGGTCCCACAAATGGTTATTTTACTTGCTATTTTACGAACTATAATCACATTTTTAACACACACAGAGCATTTTAAAATCATCATTTTTCTAATCTATCGGAGAGAATATTTACTCAACATACTTGCTGGAAGAAGAGTAACCATGAATATACATACAGTGGAGCAAAAGTCTCTTGACAGTACCATCAAGTCTATAAAACTGTTTGACTTTTTTCTTATTTTAACTTCGGAAACAAAGGGCTAATAAAATGAAAAAACTAAATCAAGCCATATAAGAGTGGTGAAATATGAGAGGAGAAATTTCTTTTTTTTATATGCTAAAAAATATATCCCTTGATATATATTTGACCTAGGGTCTAGAGCTAAGAGTTGGTTAATGCTCCCCTTGGAGGGACCAAGCAGGGTCCTTGTGTTAGCCATAGTTCAAGGATTCACTGGCAGAGAGTCTATTTCTTCAAAGAAATTTAAGATAAGACATGGTTCTATCTGTCCACTACAGGGTAAATTTTAAGATTCATCAATAGCAAGCTACAATAAGTGAAATACAAAATATCTGCTGTAGCTCTTTGCAAATGAGTTTTATGAGAAAAGGTTACATAACACGACTTTAAATAATAGATCCTAAGAAAAGGCAACACACTCCTCCTTTCCCAAAAGGCACTTTAAACATAAAGATATGACTTCATGAAGGTATTTATCTAAATATCCAAACACCTTCCAAATAATGTCTAAAAAAAAAAAAAAAAAATGACCACAGCTCAGATTACAACGTTTTGGCTTAAGGTATAACTTGAGAGTTAGAAAAGATGAAGGACAAAAGGATATCCTCTGGTGGTTTGTTGCCAAAGAAAGTGAGCTCTTTTCCTTCACGATATATTTGTTCTTGACAGGGAATGCTGTCAGAATTAATAAGGGAACATGTGCAAAAGAGTCAAAGTTCTCTGAAGAAATGTAAGCTCTCTAGTAATCTGAAGGTGTGATGTGCTTTAACTCTTACACTCTAAGCAAAGCAACCTAGGGCTCGGCAGCACTTTTCAACCCTCTGCTGACTGTAGATATCCCAAAGCTCTACAAAGCCATATACACTTTCAATTATTTTTTCTTTGCTTAAACACCAACGATCATGGTGTTGTTGTTGGTTTTTTTCCCCCTCTATCTAAAGATTACACAGTTTAATTATTAACGGTTCTATGTGGCCAAAAGCCAACATCTAAAGAAAAGCCTTTCCCACCTAGTCCACAAATGCTGATCTTTCATTGGCCATTATTGCTACTTTTTACGACCGGCTTCTAAGAGTCAGTTACCACAAAGTAATTTCTTAAAAAGAATTCCCTCTCTCATTTTGATGGTTGTAGACCAACTACTCTATACTGCTGTCCACTTCTCTAAGTTATAATACCCTCTGATCAACAATAGTCCTTTTGAAACATAAATATAGATATTAATCAACCAGCCAAACTTATGTTCAGGTCTTGACTTATTAAACCACATAATTATGGGCCTAATGCTAATCTTTATATTTACTTTTCAAAGTACTAAAAAGAAAACAATCTGTTTACTGAAAAAGTCATTAACCTTTTTTGAGTGTATACTCCTAAGATATTGGCCATGTATATATTTGTATGTGTATTTGTTGGTTTTAAACAATATGCATGGACTAACATATAATTATGAAATGAATCTGTAAAACAGAAATTTTAAAAGGCTGAGATAAAGAACTTTTACTATTTTCTCCCCATACCTCATAGACTATACATTATAGGCCCTTCTTCAGAGACTACTGACTTAAAGGACCACCATGTTCTAGCCTAAGTATCCTTTTTCTAACACACAACATTATTAAACTGGAGGCTGCTTTAGGTCCAAACTTATATGAATAGATAGGCTGGGAGGGGGTTGGTGGTAAAATCTCTAATCTGGAAGGTCTCATTCTAAGGCTCCTAAGAAATGACACCACTGTTAAGGTAATTATGTATAGATCGTCTATGCCTGAAGCCCTGTGCTCTGGGAGAACTTTGGGAGAGCTATTGTTACTGTGTTCCCTTTGGCAGAAGCAGCACAGAGCATGTGTTAGAGGTGTGAGTCCTACTCTTGAAGAACCCGTATATAAAGAATAAAGAACTCTCCAGCAATGTAACACTATAATTGATGATGATTCATAAGAAAAATGCTCAGAATCCACACAGTGGGTAACCTGCTGATTCCAGGACAGACAGAAAGATGAAGAAGACAGTCAATCCATGGTTCTCAAAGCAAATCATTTAAGTTACATCTGAAAATCAGGAAGCTCTGTCCTCTAGCATCAGGGCCATTATTTAAGGCTGAGGCAGTACAACAAGGAGCCTGGGGTGGGTGGGGGGTGGGGTACAGAGAGGCTTCCTGAAAAGTGCAGCAGGCTGAACTTCATGGCCTTTAATGTCCATGCTGAGAAATCTCAACTTTCCTTCAGGCTTTTTAGAAGATGACCTGCACATTGCATTAATTTCTTTCCAAGCCAGAAATTCTCAGCCTTTTTCTAGTTAACAAGTATGAAGTCACTGGAGACGTGTGACTAAGAGGCTCAATGCCTTGCTTATCATTTCACTTTATGGAAACCTAAAAAAAAAACATTACTCTCAGTTCCTATTATAATACTGACATGTAACAAAGAATGTGATCAATATAAAACCAATTAATGAAATTAGGTAATGTATTCTGGTACTTCTAATCTACTTTTTTCCACCTAAAATATCTATTGCTCTTATCAACACCCTTTAATGGTTGGCCACTGTATACACATAATCTTTAATGATAAGATTATAACAGTAGCTACCATTACTGAATATCTATTATGCTTTATGTATATTATTTCTCACATCGAACCTATGAGTTAGACTTATCATCCCATTTTACAGATGAAGAACAACTTATGAGATGTTAACATTTACTTAAAACCACATTTTCTAAGTGGCTAGGCTACGATCTGAAACCAGATCTGCTTTTAAAACTCACATTTTTAAAACTACTTCACTACATGCTGTATTTCCAAATCTGTGTTTCTCTTCCTCCATATTTCATTTAATGATATGCTTTTCTGACATCTGGCTAAGAGTATAATTATAATAAAATGTGATAATCAGTAACATGATATAGTGCAAAACAACACAGGCTTTAGCACCTAAAAGATCTGTGTTCAAGTCCTGGCTCTATTATTTACAAGCAATATACCCCAGGAAATGTACTGAATTTTCAGAGTACCTGTTTTTGTTGTCTGTAAAGGAGGAATAACTACTTTGCATAATTGTTCTGAAGATTAAATGGGCATATATGTAAAGCATATTGAATGGTGCCTGGTAATACAGTTAGCATGCAGTAAACGCTGTTATTATTTTTAGGTACACGAAATAGTATGGCAGCAGAGACAAGGAAACAGATCTGCCTAGAAGATGAAGGACACAAGTATATGACATTCAGGAAGGATTCCTATTAGTTTTGGTGTCTAAGCTGAGCACACAAGTCTCCTTCCTCAATGTCTCAGGATGACCCAATGTGTCTGGGCCTCACTCCCTGACTGCTACCTGAAGATGTTGGTAGTGCGCACAGTAAACCCTGCCCTGAGGGCCAAGACTGGAAGGAAAGAAGAAAGACTAAGTGTTGGACCTGAAACCAAAGGGCTCTGAATGTTTTCAAGCTTCTGGCTAGAGTAGGAAACTGGCTTTCTGACTTCCCACTGGCTAATCAAGACAGTCTATCTCACTCCCAGGCACAGTTCTCTTCTATCTCAATCAGGAACTACCCAGTGGAGTGTAAGTACTGGGGAAAGGAGGGATGAGAGTATGCCAGGACTATCTCACACAGCCCTGCCTCAAAACTGCTCATTTGGAACAGAAGAGTAAAATTGAGTTCCTCAGGGTTCAATGCCTAGATGTTATTCCAAAACTATGCAAGGACAGACCTGTTTGAGGTTTAACATCAAAACTATGAGGACTTAAAGGGGCTGAGGTTTCAGTATAAGTTTGTACACAAAAACAGTTTGTACTGTTTTTGTTAGAAAGTTAAAAGGACTTTTTAAGTTATGAAAAATAGTTTGACTGTGACCTTTAGAAAAACAATATAATTATTTTGACTCTTCCAAATATAATCCCTTAGAAATTTTAAATAGCAGGCAGTATTATTAGAAAAGGCAAATATTGTTTAAAATAAATTAAGCTACAGACTAAGGAAGCAATGGGCATTATAACTGCTCTTTAGAGAGCAAGAAGATTCATGACTTCATGTTTAATAAAAATGTCACAGATGTACTAAGATGGGGGGGGTACTTTATGCATCTGACAGGGATGATTTCAGCACACTTCATGGCTTTAAGATAAATGAGACAAAATAACTTTCTAAAATTATTAGGATATTCTAATAGTCAAGTTAAAACATTAATTATCTGTACTACAACTTCTTTCACCCTCCAGTCTCCATTATTTAAATAAAGTTTTTTAGTAGGTACAAGACAAACTAGTCACTTAGACAAACTAGTCTAGAAACTGGGTGATGAGCTGCATTTTCTGTATGTTTCGTGTCTTAATATTCTTCAGACATTAGGACGTAGTTAAATTTTGATGTCCACCTTCTTGGTTCTAGCTGCCAGCATTAACTCAGTCAATCTGACCTCCAAGAACACCACACTGACCTCTGCTCACACTCCACTCTCAATAGTAAGCACATAATATATCACTTGAAAACTGATGAAAGAAATCAGAGTACCTGGAAGGACACCACATTAAAACCAATAGCTAACTTCTGTGAAGAATTCAGATAAGAATGAATCCTGATAAGAATAATGTACGTACCTGTACCACAGGATCTTTTGGTTGGTGTGATTAACGAGACATGAGCTGTGTCTGTGCATGGCCCACCTAGAAACAGAAAGGCAGGCACATCAGTCAAGACATACCCTCTAAGTGCCCACAGCTGCTATTCTGGATAAAGAGAAACCCAAAAGGGCAGGATCAACCTGCAAATATACATAAGGAGGGGCAGTAGGAAAGATGGAGAAGGTGGTGGTAGTGGTAGGTTAATTCTAAAGACATAATTTTAGTTCAGCAGTCTATAGATCCATAGTCTTTCTAAATTTCAACATGCTTTTCATAAAAAGTAATCGAGTCTCATTTAATGTCAAGATGTTAAAGGATAAAATTTAAACTAGAATTCCAATCCAGGTAAGAGGAAAGTACCCACAAGTTTGGGAAGATGAGTTTTTCCACAGAGCAATAAACAAGAGTACTCCCTCTTAATCTGACCTCAATAGTCACCCTACCTTTGAATTGATTGCAAAATTAGCCTTCTTTAAAGGGAGAAAGGGCACTGCCTAAGAAACAACAAACAGCTTGTCAGAAGAAATGAAGATTATTTTAATATATAAAGAGAGCACTGCTGACCAAGGAAAAATATCTAGTTTAATTATAAGAATATGATACGAAGAAGGCATTCATGGAATCTTTGAGGGTTCAGAGATATGCTGGACAGACATAATTCAAGAGTATGCAAGAGATATAGTCAGTCATTAAAAGCAATAATTTCATTCTTCAGAAAAGGACCATCAACAAATTCTTAAGTTGATATTGATGTCAACACTCTCTACCAATCATGCCCTACCTTCTAAAATAGGAAGCTGCCAGTGGTTCTTGATATGCCCTAGGAGGGGCATTAGTGATGATCATAAAAGAACAGAATACACGAGCAAATGATACACATATATTTTGAAAAGGCTCCCTAGGTAACTATGACTAGCAAAGCGAAACATGGTTAACTAGCAGAGCTGTATGTCACCTATGATAAGACTTCGTATCATTGAAGTTACTCATCAGAAAGGAAGAAGAGATCAAAGAGCTCTGAGACCTGTTCTTAGAGTTTATGCCACCAAGATCCATGGGTTTAGGGACCTGGAGATCCCACCTAAGAAATTCTTTGTTAGTCCATTCTTTCCTTGGCCAAGGTCATAAC